CCATCTCTTCTTCTTGATTCTTCTCTTCAGAAAGGGGAAGAAGAGAGAAGAGGAGAACAGAACATGCCCCCGAATTTCTCTAGCACATTCGAAGACGGGCGGAGGCTAGCACAAGCGGTGGGGCAGAGCCCTCAGCCCGCTCCTCACCCCGCTGTCCCCTCCTCTCCGAGCGCCAGCCTCCGCCTCCCCGCCCCTTCTGCCCAGCGGCGGGGCCAGCCGCCCGCTCCGCTCCCCTCCTGCAACGCTCCTTCCCCAGCTGCCTTTTCCTCCTCTTCCCGAGGAAGCAGCACGGCAAGGAGCTGGGGGGCTGTGTCCTATTGCAAAGCCCCCAGCAACAACTGGGAAAGGCAACGGCGTGTGCGCGCACACTTGCCAGAGATTAGACTTCTTGGAAGGAATCTGGACTTTATCCACCCCCACCGCTGCCTCCTCGATTAGCAGCTTGCAGCTTCCCGAGGTCAGCTCTCCTCAGATTTGAACCCAGGTAAACGGGACCCAGAAAACTTTATGTTAAGCAGCTTCCAGATCTCTCCCGGTAAAGCCCTCTCCAGGGTGCCTTCCCAATTTTCGTCCCTGTATTGCCATCATGGGTATTGCCACCAGAGAACTTTGCCATCGAGTGTCTCCTTGCCCTTGGGCTATATTTTCCCTCAACTGGTTAGGACGCTTTCCAGAGGGTTAATCATTATTGTATTACCATGAACAATCCCATCCCATGGGGGGTTTTAGTGTTTCCAGCTTGGTAGTCCTTAATATAAATTAGGGTTCAAGGCTACAAGCTTTAAACACTATTAAATCTAAGAAGGCAACTGGTTCATTTGAAGCTGTTCAGTCTTGGAAATCTTTGTTTTACCTGTTCCTTGTGCTGCTTCTCAGCTCAGTCTAATGGGCATTTCCTATACTTGTATTCTGATTTTGGAGCAATGAACTCATGGTGTTCTACAGCATGAAACATGAAGGTCACCTTAAGAAATGAGCTCACTTCTGGCCAAGTCTGCTCAGTAGCACTTCCAAAGACATCTTCAGCATAAAAACAAGGAACAGACTACTAAAAATCTACTGACTTGACAAAAAGCCTCTTTTTTTTTCTTCCTTCACTTTTGCCCATTATTCACTTGATGTGACAGTTTTGTGTTGCCTCATCCTCAGTCACTTATCAAAGGCAAGAAATTTCCCTACATGCTGGATCTTTTACAGGAGTCGCTAAGCGGTAGAAAGAAGCTGTTTCTGGAGTGGATTTGGCCAAGAATTACACTCAGTTAATTAGAAGCAAATCTCCTATATCCTCATAGTCAGGGAGGCAGACCATCAGGGCAGCAGAGGATGGAAATAGCTTAGATACTACATCACACTGTAACTCTCAGGCAACAGTAGCACAAAGGAGAACAAAATAAAAATATGGGGCTGTGTTAGAAGTTAGAACCACTTACTCCACTGAATGCACAAGGAAAGGATATACTGGAAACAGGATCAGAAATTCTATTAGCATTCAGAGAAATTAGCTCCTTACTAGAGGTTGTTGATGCTCATTCAGAATTCCATCCCATGAGACACTCCCTGTTCAGGCCTCTGATGCACAAGGTTCAACACCTCTAGCAGAAGCCTGCACTGGATTTCTCTCACAGTATTTTCTAAGTTGCCTCTCTCTCAAGGCAAAGTTTTCTACATAAAGTGATATAATAAAATAAGTCAAGTAATTTTAAAGGAAACACAGACCAGCACACCAAAAGCAATACAAGTCCAAGTATTCACTTAGAATTCTATTATTCTATTCACAATAGAAGTCCTGTATTCACTTTCTGGAAGAATGATGAACTGGGAAGATAGAGTGGGTTTTGCAGCTGTCTCCTCTCTGGCAGGTCCTGTTTCGGAACTATTTCCTTCTTAGCAAGACTCCCATTTTTCTCACACATTCATTGAAAGAGGTGGATCTCAGATTCTCAAAAGTCTCTCATGACTACTCTCCAAGGTGGAGAAGAAAACCTAAAAGGGAATTCTATCAATATAACTACAGCAGTTTAGATCAGTAATATATCTACAGATAAGGTAAAACATCCTGAACTTTCTTATATGGGCAAATTTGAAGTAGTTGTATAAATTTGCCACTTAACAGCAGTCACTTTCTCACCCCTGATATATGCATAGTTCTATTACAGTAAATCTATGATTTCCTACAGAGTCTGTCTTGATTTTGCCAGATTTTTCTGTATTGACCCTTCTGAACAAGAAATGTCATCTTCTAAAATGTCCCTGGCTCTCTGGAATTCAACCTATTTCTCCTGAATTGGCAGGATAACTATTCATCAGGACCAGATGAAATATTAATGCTACCTCCACAGTGAAAGCCTAGCAGGAGTAGTTAACAGCAATCATACTCAGAGCTGATGTAATAGTCAAGCTATAAGGTAGAGGAATAAGATCAAGGAATTCCAGCAGATCTGCTTAAATCCTATAAATCCGACTTAGGAGGGTAGAACAGCTAGTCAGCTTTTGTTTAATTCTTTCCTCACCACGCAATCACATAGAGGTCTCTGCAGCAATGTTCTTAACCAGTGTGCTCAACAAAAGAACAGAAGTTTCTTTACCCCCCAGCATCAAACACCAAGTCAGAAAGAACAGTGCTGTTCCCTGTGGGTACACACATGAACTACTAATGATCCTCAATATGAGCATGTCACAGAATGCATTTAAACACCCAAAATAAGCTTAATGGTGAGATACAGGAAGATGGCCAGCAGCTGAAATTGCCAAGGATAATCAGTAACTGGAGGGTTTTTGGTTTTTGGTACAACAAAAGAAGCAAAATAATTGCTCAAGTACTTTTAAAGGAAGCACTGTAAAACCTGGGTGCACCTGAAAAGCAGTTTCCTTCCTCTCAATAAATAAAAGGATTGGAGAACTTTAGCAGCGTAATTCCAGTCTTGCAGTAGACATATAAAAGGTTAGACCAAACCCCAAACAACTGAATTTGTTAAGCTCACCATGAAGCAGTATAATGCAAAAATAGCTGTTCAGATTAGTGGGAGCTGTGCAAAATTTCAGAAGTAAAAATAGAAAAAGGTATTAAGTGTCTCTGTTACAGCCTCTTATGTAAGACTGTTCTTTGCAGACACTAGAAATTGGTACATTCAGCACACATGTTACATTAAGAGATGCATAAATACTTCTATTCCAAGTTTTAATACGAAGAAAAATCATCATCAACAAAGGTGAATCAGTTCCTCACTTCCAATTTACGTTGTATCCTCCAGAAATGAAGGAATAGTAAGTAGCATAGTATTCCTTTTCATAGTGCCTTCTGGACAGAAAATGCAAAATGTCACAGAACCAAAGTGTTTTCCCAAACTCAGATGTTGATACTGTGTTCTTACTGACCCCAAGTCCTCTGAAAGACTCAAATTATGCCATAATAGCAACAAAAGAATAAGCTACCCTGTGGATAATCCACTAATGAGCCACTGTAATTAACAGCTAAGTGAATGTTGCTTCAGGAACTTAAAAGCCTTTAACCTGACCAAAATCTTTGTGATGAACAGGTATCAGCCTGGGGCTCCAGAGGACTCAGATCCAGCAAACTCTACAGCCACCTGTGGCTAATCACACAGTGTGTGTGTGCCTGACTCCCCTCTTATTTTGCTTTTTCTACACACCCAAAACAATCACTGATATAAATGTTCTAACATTAGTCCTCCAAGACACTGCGTTCTTCCCACCAATTAGGTACTGGTCCCAAGAACCTGCCTGTTATAGTTTTGTGGTACTGTAGTGGTAACTGTCCCCTCCCCCCTCAAATCAAAACTAATTACATTATTTCAATCATCAGTCCATGCTTGAACTTTCTCTCCCCCTTTTAGTTTTTTTACCCCAAAACAATGGAACATTTCGTTGTAGGTTATGAATTGCCCAAGACAACACCAGTCTTGCTTTATTACAGTACAGACAAAATAATCAAACTTAACATGGCACCATACCTGTCCCACCTGCAAATCAGAGGGTCTTAATCCCAAACTTCCAGGTTAAAGTTATATTTGATACTTACCATTGTATTACATATTAACAAGGTATTTTGCTAGAGATTATTCCTAAATTCTACAGCCTTTTTTTACAGCAGTGGAAATTAAAAATTTTCAAGTTGTACCAGATTGTGTATACACCCACATAAGAGTACAAATCATCATTACTATAAATTCTAAGTAGGCTCAGTGTTTGAACTCACTCACTTTTTGATAGCAGCTCCAGAGCTGGGCAAGAAGCTTGCATGTGAAGAAGTCATCCCCTGTTAGGATATGCATTTAGATGTATGCCTAGAAGGTTTTATTTAACAGTGAGGACCTGAGTAGGCTAGTTGAACACCACTCTGCAGAAATCCTAACACTGCAAGACCCAGGAGTCTCATGAACAAAATCAGATGATACTCAAAACGGGTGGGTTTTGGTCTGGAATCAAAAGCAGGGTCAAGATCCACACACCACTTGACATCAAAAAAATTACTCGACTTTCTTCTTTTTTGATCAAGACCCCAACTTTAATTGCTTCTCCACAGTCCCTTTTGTAAAGTACATCATACATAACGCGTGATCTGAGGAAACCTCTTCAGGAGCTTATTCACTTTGCTTGAAGGCAAATTTCCCCTGGATGACAGGGTGTCCTCATTTTGATTCTTGCGCTCTTTCTGAAAGAGAAAAAAACTCCTCAAAATATTTACCACGACTTATTTGCAGAGTTGATGCTCATTCCCAGAGACTACTACTAATTGTATGGGGACATTTCTTTCAGAAAAGTACTGTTTCTTTAAGGAACACTTACCATAGCATTGGCTCAATAATCACAGGCTGATGCCTTTAAATGATGCGACTAATGACTAACATCTTGTAAAGGTTATACCCTTCCATATTCTTAGTTAACAACGATATACACTTCTGGCAACAATGTAGATTTTTTCTTTTTACTTTTCATTATTCTTTGATCTTTGATTGATTCTTTGTCATCTACCAAATAAACTATGGATAGTTTTTCACTTATGCTATCAAACAGCAACAGTAAATAACCATTTAAATTATGACACTGTTACTGAAAGAAAATGGAAACCTAAAACCAGTTTAAGGACACGTTTAGTACATATACTTACCTTTAGTCTATTTTCAAAATTATTTTATTTCAAGCTTATAATATAGTACTATTATAATACATTAATATATAATACATAATAAAAATTTTCTAATTTTCAAAAAGTCTGAAATTTATTTTTCAAAAATGTCTAGCCTTCAAAGACAGAAACAAGTTGGAAAAGACCTCCAAGATCATTGAGTCCAACCTTTGACCAATGGCCACCTTGCCAACTAGACCATGGCACAAAGTGACACATCCAGTCACTTCATGAACGCCACCAGGGATGGTGACTCCACCATCTCCCAGGCCAGCCTGTTTCAATGCTTCAGCGCCCTTTCAGTGAAAAAGTTCTTCCTGATGTCCAGCCTGAACCTCCCCTGGCACAGCTAGAGGTCATGTCCTCTTGTCACATCACCAGTTGTCTGGAAGAGGCTGACCCTCAGCTGGCTACAGGTGTTTTCAGGTAATTGTAAAGAGCAGTAAGGTCTCCCCTGAGCCTCTTCTCCAGACTAAACAACCCTAGCTCCCTCAGCCCCTCCCTGCAGGAGCCTCTGTATCCTTCTTCATCAACTTCATCGCTCTTAGTTGCTCAAATGGGTCACAATCAAATTGTTCAGAGAACATTATTCTTACTGGCACACAAAAATGACTGGAGGCTTCCTCCTTTCCTACTACTAGCCTTTTAGAATACAAAAGAGGCCTTAATTACTTCTGCCTTTGCCACGCAGTCATAGAACATCCTGATCTCCTCGGTACAAGGTGTGTCGTTGAAGTCATTCTGTTTCCAGCAGGCCATCATTACTGACATTTCCGTAATGCACGTTGCCTCTAGAAGGGAAAGACATAACCAGAAATCTCAGGTGCTTGGGATTTTATGCTAACAACCTTCACAGTGCATAAATCTCCAAAGAAGTTTAGTACATAAAACTCCAAGGAGTTTTAAAGTTTAACTTTCCCTCAAAGGGTAGGGGCAGGTGAGAAAATGCACAACTAAAGATCTCAGCTTTGCTTTGGGCAGCGAAGCTGTTGCTAACAGAAACTGAACCGCTGCAGCCATCCAGCATCTGACTGAATTTTTAAGATAAAGGCAATGCTACGCCAAAAAGTGTTTGACTCACATGCGACACAAACTTAAGGGTCGCAGTGTGAGGAAGCGATCCCTCCCACGGAACCCTCGCGCCAATTGCACGGCGCAGACCGGCCCCCCGCTCTTGTCCTGCGGAGCACAAGGCGCCGCCGAGCTCTGCCAGCAGCGCGGCCCCTCCCGGGGCACAGCGGCGGCTCCCGGCCTTCCCCTCGCCACCGGGAGCTCACCTGTCAGCTGCTCCCGGCGGTTCGCCACCCTGTCGGCCAGCGCCAGCGTCCGGGGCGGCCGGAGCGTCGGGGGCCGCTTCTTGTTCCGCCACTGTCCGGACACCCAGCGCGTCACCCAGGCCGGGTAGGCGGGCGCCGCCATGTCCGGGCTGGGGGTGGCCTGAGGGCGGGGCGGGGCCGGGCCGCCCTCCCGGAGCGGAAAGCGGCCCCGCGCAGCCGCCTGCCCGCCCCAGCCCGCCCGGCAGGCCAAGGATAGGCCCTGCCGCTGAGCTACTCCCCGGAACCGCTCCAGCCCAAACCTCCTCCTGCGGCAACGGTAACGAACGAAGGAGAAACACACTTCAGCCAGAGCAGCGGAAATCGTAATTGTTTCAAGTAATTCAGATGGAATTAAAGGAGCCACAGAATGGGACTGGAAAGGAGCACAGTGGGTCATCTGGTCCAACCTCCCTGCTCAAGCAGGGTCCCAGAGCACACTGCACAGGATTGCATCCGGAATATCTCCAACGAGGGAGACTTCACAACCTCTCTGGCAAAGAAGCTGTTCTCACGTTCAGGTGGAACCCCGTGTGCATCAGTTTCTGCCCATTGCCTCTGCCCTATTGCGCAGCACCACAGAGAATTCCTGAATTCCTCCATCCTTTTGACGCTCTCCCCTCAGATACCGTAGACAGGGATGAGGTTCCTCTCACTCGTCGCTTCTCAAATTCTTCTGTAACTGCATGGAAACTCTTCTTGGTGTCTCCAACTCGCATCACTTAGTTCTCAGCCCCTCATTTCTCTCCATTACATTACAGCTGGATCTCCCCTGCATTGTTCCTACTGCTCCTTTCACGGAGACACTGAAACTGCTGCTGCTGAACTACGAAATGGTAGTTCCCATCGTTCCCACAGCCCCGTACTCAGTGGTGGAAAAAACCTCTTGCTCCCAAAAGTTTCCTCCCTAGGTCCTAGAAGTCCTCAACTCATCTGGCAGGTTCTGGAGTGCTTATGTCCCCAGCTGAAAAAGGCAGGCAATACAGAAGGCACAGGAACATTCCAAGGGGACGGGCTGGGATACAAACAAGTCTCTGCACAGTAGGAGGGACAAGGTAGATGCAGAAAACTGAGGAGCTGGACACGAACACTGGGGACACAAAGCACTCAGGTCCTTGTCATGGAGCAGTTCCTGAATATGCCATTTTACCACTGTATCAGGAACAGCTGGAATCCTCTGACCATACACAGAAGACTAAATAAAAAACACTTTTCTTTGCAATTTTTTTTTTCCATAGGACACTGATTTGGATTAAAATATATTCAACCTCCTATACATAAAACCCAAAACATTCCCCTTTGCCTAGTAATGGAAGTTAACAAGACTTCAGAAATTCCGTTAACTTGAGCTAAACATCACTGGACCTATACCACAATATTCTCAATATGGTTACTAGAATTTACTGTATCTGCTGACAATAAATCCTGGTAGATCCAATTTTATAATTATTTTTGTGTTACTTTTGAAATAGTATATACTTAGAGTCCAAATTAAAGAGTATGAGAAGACACATTTAAATAAACCAAAGATTTTATTTTTAGTTCTCTTCTGGGAGTAAATTTTCATCTCTTCAGGTCCAATCCAATTCCAAACACTTTCTGGAAGTTCTGAAACATTTTGGTAAGCAGGATGTTTCTCTATTTCAATTTTTTTTCTGAAAAGACAGGAAACAAGCTATCCTTTGAGCTTGACTACCAGTAGAAAAGAAAGAAAACAGGGTGACACCTTCAAATTAGGCCAGAGGGCTTGCAGTGTGCAACTCTGAACAACGGAGATTTTGAAAATCTAAGACAGGGACATGAAATACATTTCAGTATTCTAAGTTCACATGAGGTTCAGCTACTCTTGGTTTTGCATCTTCTAGCTACCCTTCTTACCTACTGCTAGCTACCCACGTTCCCGTGCTGCATTTGCCTCCTGCATGCCTAACTAGATCAGCACAGAAACTAACAAGGAAAGGCAAAAGTACTAAGAGGTAAGAAAAGATGAACTGCACTCCTTGTAAATCAACTCCCTTTTTCCAAATTACATTAGCTAATGGTGGCAGCACCTTCATGTCCTTTCACCTTCAAAAGCTGATGTCTCATTTAAGTAATTCCAAGAAACATGAGGTGGGGGAGGAGTGGAGGCTGAGAAACAGAAAGGCAAACTTACACAAGGAGAATTGTAATAGCTTCCTGTAAGTTACTGTTGTCTGCATTAAAACTAATTTTTTGGCATCAGTCCGGTATTGGAGCATCAGCCTTAGAGATTCCTAAGCAAACAGAATAAGGTACATGGCGGTGTCTGCACACACCATGCAGAGATGTCTGAAGCAGGACACAGTTTTACTATTAAACATTATTTTTTAATATTACATATTAATTTTAAGGGAGAATGTGGAACTACAAAAGGGCTGTTTTACTCAATAGCCAAATGTCTCTACAGCCTGTATTTTGTATAGCTGATAGCACCAAGTCACTAATGGATGGGACAGAAGTGTTGACTTTATAGGGACAGTCAGAAACCAGATTTCATCAACAGTGAACCCCAGAGATGTTTTATGGTGAATGCTGAAGGAACAGCTATAAAAACCATGTGAAACTTTAACTTGTACTAATTAGCATTTACAGCTTTTTTTACTGCATCAACACATTTAAAGCTGAATCCTAGCTTGCATTTCAGCTGGTCAAAACCAAAATGAACCACAGAGCTTAAACTATTAATACTAGATTTGAAAAGCATATATATCAAAACTGAACAAAGGCCACATATGGTAATATGGTAAATGCTGTGCCACAATTAAATACAAAGCTAACAATGCTGTGATAAAATGCACCCTTTAAAATGAGACTGTTATCTTAAATACCTCTTTAAGAGATGAGAAATTACACCATGTATTCTTCACTTTCTAGTGTAGTTATGTAAAAATTCAGATACTGCCTAAAACTCAGGGGATGAAGCTAAGGAATCAGTTGTGTTGGGAAAAAAGAATGGAGTTGATATCCATGTCTTTCAGGTAAATTCCAGTATATCCACACAAATTTATCCTGAATACAAGATCCTGAACACAGTCCTTCTCATACCAGTTCATAATGCCCTCACCTACCACACTTTATTCTTTATTCATCTGTCTCACCCTGACCTCTTTAAACCAATTTAATTAGAGATGCCTTAAAGCACTTCCACTTTAACTTTAGTAGTGAAACTAACCAGTTTGCTAAGATTCCAGATGGATCAGACTTAAGTCCTGCCTCCTGAGCTATTGTGTTTGGACAGTATTAGTACTTAATGCTCTTATTAGCACAATGCATTCATGCACTCACAGCGTGCCTCACCCCATCCTAACTCCCAAACCAGCCCTTATCCCGTGCTATCTCAATCAGATCAGCTGCCCTGCATTTTTCTGTCAACCTGAGTAGTTCTGAGCTGCCATACCTAATCCCTAATTCCCAGGATCTAGGAAATTCAGCCCATTTCCACTGCAAATTACCTGTGCCTCCTTATTTGCTCAGAGATGCCACAAAGTATTATCATCTGCTCTGATCCATTCCAAGATCCCCAGAACCATCTCTAGCCGAGACATTTGCACATTAAATGGGTCTTTTCTGCAGTAAAAAATGTATTTAACAGCACACAAATGCTAGTGGTGTCAGAGCTCTGGAACAAATCCTGCAGCTCCATTCCTCTCCATCCTTCCTAATCTCTCTGCAGGGCCATAGATCTCTCACTGCCAGCTCTGAGACAATGAACCATAAAGAGAAGTACCGTTTGTTAAAGCCTGACGCAGGCTTTGGCTCAGTAGGTCTATCACTAAAAGGATTTTGTCTCTGATTAATTTCAACCTGTCAGTAGAGGTCTCTGGGCAGATTGAAGGAACCTGCTACCCTGTATATTTCCAATTAATATAACTTCCCAGAAGGTGCCTGGGCTTCCATCAATAACCTTAATTAAGTACAACCAAATAGATGACAACTAATGATTAAGGGAGTGGCTCTCCTGGGACCATGGCAGAAAAGTGTCTATGGCAGGAGAGTAAATGAGGCAGATGGCTGCTTGTCTTACACAGCAGTGCCTGTTAAAACTCTGATGTCTCTGATGGCTGAGCTCCAATTCAATTTATCCTGTTCCCAGTCATTTAGAAGTTGTTCTTCCACACCACCTAAAACTATCCTTAGTCAAAGTGCAAGAGGGGCATTTCTGCTGATTCTCCAGCTGCTACTGCAATTTGCAGACCATTTCCAGAGAAAGCAGCTCATTCTCCTTTCCCTCTAAACATATACATCCACTGTTGCTTGGGTTTCATTCTACTTACCATTAGAGAGGATCCAGAGATCTTTTGGTCTGAAAATTACTACAGTGACTGAAATAAGAAAAGGCAATTCTTTCTGAACTCCTTCTGAATTCTAGAAATCATAATGTTAGGTATCAAATCAATATTCTTCAGCGAGATTATGTGCTTCCTACAAATTGCAGTTCGTGCTAAAGGACAGAAAACACAGACTACTAGCTCAATAAATAAAATAACTGGCTTCTAACGGGAAAAATAGGCAGCACGTGGTATTACAGTTTTGGCAGAAGAATGAGAACTGTGGCTTGTCCAATCAATGCAATGCATTGGACTGCTAGATTTTTAACCTTCAGTCAGCTATTTGTTTCTCATCTTTCACCTCTCAGAGGGCATAAATTTATTCTAGCTTGTCAAGTAAATTCTGAGACACAGCACCAAGAGAATCTACTGCTGCTTCATGTGAGCAGTAATGAGGAGATACTTATTTTTAGAACATTAATGCTAGTGAATAAAGCTATCCTGACAGCTTTGAAAGCCTCCCTCTAGTCACACAGTAAACAGGCACAATGTATGACAAGCAGTGAAGCCACTCACTCTATTCTGTAGGATCCTGCCAAAGCGTTTATACAGGTAATCATCTTCAATATCTGGTATTTTTGATAAATTCCTGATTAGTCTCAGTTTTTATGAATATGGGTACCTGCACTGTAAGAACATGATTAAGATAAATGCTGAATCTATTATGTTCAGTCTGAGTATCACATAGCCTTCCAGTAGTCACAATATGAGGGATGACATTAAGCCACCATCTTGCTGGTTTGGATTTAAAGCAGAGAGAAATCCAGTTAGCAGCCAAGAACATAAATCAGGAACCTTTTTCCAAAATAATAATGCTGTAGTGACTTTCTTCCTTGCATTAGTAGAAACACAGCCAGAAGGGTAAATTGAATTCACTTGGGCTATGACTGGCAGTACACATTGGCACTGTACAGCAGTCCTTTCCAATGCATTATTAAGTAAATTAATTGCTAACTCTTCAAGGGTATGAGACCCAGCTTCTCCTCCTGTCTCCTCCAAATTACAGGAGAGGATGAAAACAGAGCCATGGCAAAATGTTTACTCAACATTTTGTAGTCCTTGCTGTGCAGAGCAGTTGATGCTGTGAAGGTCGGTCAGCAGCCTCGAACACAACTGCAATCACAACTCTTTATCCAGCTGGGCAGGATTCCCACCTCTCCTGTCCCTGCAGAGTTTGCCTGGCAGCAACACAGAATATTCACACCATGCACTGAATAAATATTCCAGCCTTAATTCTTGCACACCATACATAAAAAGTGAAATAAATTCACTGTACTAATAGAGGCAATGGACACGCGGTTTATAAATCACAGAAGTATTGTGACACAGAGGAGATGAAAGCTAGTATGACCTATTACTACAGAAAAAAAACACTGCAGATACAAAAGAAACAAGACTTGGGTGAGCTTCACAGCTAAGAGTGGTAGCTATTATTCACTACCTTTTGAGAAGCTCACCACCTCTAAGACTGTAAAAAATAGGTAAACCTAGGAAGACACTAAAAACTCAGAAAAGAAAGAGTCAAATGACTTGACTCAACTACAAACTGGAAGTTGTACTTTGAAAAGCAGACAAAGCCCACAGAGTATCTGTAATGAAGTTACTTTCAGATCTGTACTCTTTTCATACCCACTTTAAGAAGAGAAATGACAATCAGAAATACTCATGCTTGGCAACAGTCATCAGGCTCAGAGGAACAGCCTTCTGTAGCACAGACACAGAGCAAAGCAACAAAGAAACCCTGCAGGACTAACAAAATAACCTTGTCGGCTGTTGGTTGAAATATATGGAGTACAGGAAGTAAATAGTTGTGAATTGGCAAATGAACAAAGCAGGGCCCCAAGGAAGAAGCTTTTACCTACTTTGCTAGCTACTCTTCAGCTTGTACCACCATATCTTCAATGCTACTGTTAGCTGAGAAACATGCTCATGTTGCTGAGCAGGAAGACAAAATGGGGCTTTGGACATCACTCATCAAGGATGTCCAAGGACTCATCAAGCAGGTGCTGATGAACATACTTATACTGGTACTTCCTCCTGTTACTCCTGTAGGGACAGTGCATTAAATGTAGCATGTCTAATTTTGGCAACAGCAGGTAAATTATAATAAAGACCTGGAAAATATTATAAAAGCTGCACTTCTGAAAAATCTACTTAAATTACAGGATAAAATAGTAAAAGCAGCATGTGCTAGTACCTGGTTCTTATTTTTTACGTTTAGCACAAAAAGCAAGATCACAATTTCTCCTCCTGGCTCTTCTACCAAACACTTGAATAAGAAAGTGTTTTGAGATATAGCTAATTAAGAAAATGCAGTTAAAGAAGACAATTATTTTCTGTACAGAAACATGAAATGAACTACCTGAAGGCATTAATTCAAACAATTTACTTAAATTTCATTAACTTGTTTAGTAGAAGTCAATATTCAGAATTAAAGCAGTCTTAATTTGCTTTATCTTAATCTACTTCTCAAGCAACTGGCCTCTTCAATCCCAAATACACATCTGTAATTTTTAATCTGATTTGAATAATCCAGTTTACCAGTTAACTTAGATATATTGTCTTAGGTATTCATGTCTCCTGAATAACTGAGAAAAGGAACTTAAACTGATAAATGCATTTTAGCTGAAGAATCACTTGTTACTTCAAGAAGAGACATAAAAACCCATTCTTCTTGTAAAATCAATTAGGTACAGTGCATGCATTTTCTACATTTATAAAAATACAGTGATTGTCATGGATCTGAAGTCTTTTCTGTCAAGGTGCCCAGATTTTAACATGACAATATTGTTATGTCACCTGAGAGGCAAACATTGAGATGATCATTACCTGTACTGGCATTATACCTGTAATACCATCTCTATAACATTATAAAGGGGAATTTAAGGGGAAAGAAAAAGATATTAAGTGACCCATACAGCACTAAGCAATAGACAGTGATGTAATTACAGAGAGAATGTAGAGTCACTACTTTCACTACACCTTTTACTGACAGACATCAGACTTCACACAGCAATGCATAAACTGCCTTACAAAATCAAACTACACAACAGACTGTAGACTTTCATCACCAACAATCTGTCTTAAGCACAGATAAACTCTGGCTCTTTAGGCAATAGTTAAGTTCTGAAGGAGGAGGGGAAATGGAGAAAGAAAGTAGCATTATTCCATTAGAGACATGACTGCAGTGTGGCCATATTTGCCTGTGCTTTTGAACCTGTGACACTGAATTAATTAGTTTCCCTCACTGCAAGATCAACTATTTCAAAAAGATACCCACAATGGCAGGGGACAGTGGAGTTTACTTATACCTGTAAGCAATACAGGCTATGCAGCAAGGAAGATCTATCCACATGCTGTCACTTAAGAACTCTGGTCACACACAAGGATCACAATATGTTAAGACTGGTAGAGATCCAAAACCACCCCAGTGCACCTGGTTCAGCATACAAAGGCTTCGAGACTTGTATCCAAACTGCAAAGACCCCTGGAAAGGCACCATTGTCAAATTGTATTTGTCTTTGCAGAAAGCTGCACATACTCAAAAGGAAAAAATCCAAGGCCTCTGAATTGCTAGCATTAAAGAGATAACAATAAGTCAAAATTACAGATTTCTGATGCGATAGAACCTTAAAAGAACCAAAGCATAGAATTTTATTTTGTTCTACACAATACCAGGTAATATACTTTCTGGTGCGAAATACTTTGTTGAAAATTGCAACTTAAATAATTTGTTCTCCCATCCCACTGTACACATGTTCTCCTAGGTCATCAAAAGAGGAAAATTAGCAGAGAGTTAAGTGACCTGCCCATAGTTATTCAGTTACCTTGTAAAGGAGGAGTATTTGAGGCATGTTACTTGGGGAGAAGAGACTATATTGCAGCAATTTCATAAGGCACGACTGCTCTTCACAGATGTGTCTTTTCTAATTCCTTCACTGGAAAAGCCATTTGTTAATAGCAGCTAAAAGTACATCTTAATGAAGAGAATATGTGATTGATAAAATACTTTTAAAAAACAGCTAATATTCTGAAGACTTAAAAAATCCCTGAAATAACTTAGGGCACTTGAGCAAGAGCCTGAAGTCATGTAAGACACAAGATAAGTATAGCAAATGCAAAAGGAGAGTAAATTCCTCTTTTGCACCACATGTTGACACCTGCAAGTCAGGAGTGGCTTCACACCACAGAGCTGAAACCCAAATCAAAGCAGTTGCTAACATTTCCACTGCTGAAATCCAATCACAACAGAAACTTACTCACTTCCTGCACCAGAAAAAATTGTCTCTGTGAGAGGTTTTTTGGTTTTTATCAAGGCAAACATTTGAAGTGAGGTAAGAATTCACAGACTCAACTTTCAATGCAATTTTCAAATCAAGCTTTTACAAAGATAGGTCAGCGTTGCCTCGTCCTCTTGAGAAAAATCTCATGCATGTAGTCCCAAAATCTTCCCTGATGAGACTCATTGCGGTGAATCATAGCAGTGAGGGCCTCACCCTGATCAAGGCTTTGCCAATAATCCTGCAGCCACATTTCTTTCCAACTGAAACAAAAAAAGAGACAGCATCACAAACAATTAAAAAAACCAAATTAGTCTGCAGCTGTAATAGCACTGAAACCATATTTTTCTTTCCCTTAAGACAAAAATAGGCCCAGAGATGGTAATAACAAAGTATGTTGTTAGTGTGCTACTGTGCCCCAAGTAATTTAAAGAAATTTGCTGTGAAAATTCTCTATAGCAAATGTAAGCTCTCACTATCATGTTAACCACAGAGACTAAATTACCAAATGTAAACTTACATTAAAATAAAATCTATCTCAGAGTCCTGATATTGAGAGTAGCTTTCCCTGGCCAGTATGCATACAACAGCCTAAAAATCAGGGGTTTTTTTTCAGATAATCCATTTAAACAACTACAAACTCAGATTACACATGACAGAGACAAAAATCATTATATTCCTTAACACAGATTCTATTCTTTATCTCCAGACTACATGGTCAAGTATGGGCTGTCTCTTGTTCGGTGCATACAGTCTCAAACTTTGCATAGTACAGACTGAATCACTGCAAATTTCAGCAATTCTTTTCCACTTTGTGACCATGTGGACTACTTCTCTCACTTATGTTACATCAAGGCATGCCAAATATTTACCTCTTCTCCATTACTTCTGCTATCCAAAAACAAATCACAAATTCTGGAAAAAAGGACCAAACATTTTGCTCTTTATAACATGTCCATATAAATTACGCAATACTTGTTAACTTACATACAGAATTTTTTGCTTCTTCTCCCTCCAAATCACAGAAATAAGAACAGTGTCTCCTGCCTGCCCTCTGTACACCATACACTGAGTCCAGTGTGACTGCAGTGCCTGGAAGCAGCTCTCACGCACCACTCCAGGAAGGCTGCAAGAAATGCACAAAACATCCCAACACCTGTCCTTGCAGAATGGCAGCCTGTACACCACAGGAACTCAGCTTCTGTGGCCAACAGCATCACCTGTGATGGCACATTCCTGCAGAGTGCACCAACACACACCACAAAACAAAGCTTTTAACAGATTCCAATGTGAAGGATCATAGACAGAGGCTTACTTCTGCTTTAAAAAATAAATATCTTCCAAAAGGTTCCTTTGCACCACATGGACGCACTGTGAGATCACATTGCCTACAAGCTAAACTCATTTTCCTTTGTTCAAAGACTGCCAACTTGAATTACTTGCTTTTAGCAGCACTGAATAAGGGCACATGTTTGGAAAACGAGCCTACTTGTATAAAGCATTACACCCAAGATTAAGTGTCAGAAAGGAACAGAAAAAAAGAAAACATTTGCAAGATGAGCTCTACGGAAACAACACCAAAAGGAATTCCAATATCCAAGTGAAGACTTTATCAAAAGGAATTTTAAATTGCTGTTATTCTTCTTTCTTTTAAGAAAATAATTTCACTCTAATTCTGTAAATTGGGAAAGATCAGTATCCCAGGATGAACAGGACTATACAAATCACCAGAAACTACCAATTACATACACCTGAAACATTTTTATTATGAGTTACAGGTTTATCCTTCATCCTGGATGATTATGGGATTCTATTGCAAGGGCTATCCTACACCTGGCAAATCTGATACACTGTTAATGTTTTTCTCATAAAAAATAAACTGTGACATAAATATAAAATAGAACCAGCAAAACCACGATGGTTTCACAATTCCTTTATCAAAGGAATAACTGGTTTCTCTTTTCCTATGCCACCACAGATGAAAACTTTTGGTAACTGAAAAGAAACTGTCACTCAGTCATCTTACAGTTACATTCTCAAACATCCTATTTTTGGAAAATGAACCCTTATCAATGCAACAAGCCAAACACTTCTCTTACAAAGATGGGAGTTTGAGACTAACTGGAGATTCTGGTTTCCCCATGATAGATACTACACTCAGCAGCAGCTGCACTGCAGCGCAGTTTTCTGTGCAAAGCATCTAAGAATTCAATAGATTATAGTGACTGACCACAACCTGACACAAACAACTGCTTGTTCTACAGTTTTTTTCTTAAGCTCACTTGGGTGTGAAACCCAGCAGTCGAAAGACAAGTGTGGCTGCAAGCATAAGGATTTAGAAACCACATCTCCACACATACAGCTAAAGCTGTAACTGTGCTCCAGCTACACATACCTACACAGAGAGATTCTGACTGCAGCAGCATTCTGGCAATTCAGCATATCTATCGACCCTAAAAACAAATTACATCTGGGAATAAGGGTTACAGAGCATGCAAATGTGTAGTGTAACCTTCCTGTAACTGAGTATATGCTCTAGCATAAACTCCTTTCTCGTCCTCTGAGTTCAGATAGCTCCAGAACCACAAATCACAGTGTGTTTACAGACCTTGCATGATGCATATAGTCCATCACTTGTATCCCCACTAGATCTGTTTCATTCTTCCACTATAATATTTTCTAAAGTACCAAAACACTCCATTGACTGGCCCAGGAGGCAATCATCTGAATTGATCACACTGTTAAATAACATTACTGTCAAACTCAGACAAAATATGCGCATGCTTAGCTAATGCTTTGATGTCAGTTTTATGCTATTGTCACACCAGTTGGAATTATAAGTAATCATGTCCCATTTTTCAAATAAAAATGGTTAAAACTTAGATTCTTATCAGACAGAAACCACTGTATTTTACAGGAGATGTCCACAATCATGCCCTGGAAACTACGGATGCATGTCTTTATTAAGTAAGTAGCACTGAATGTAAAAAAACTATGTAAAAAAAAAAAAAAAAAAAAAAAGTTTTCCCGGACTTTTTTTTCAACAC